ATGCCAAGATTTTCTTGCTAGGATTTTCAGGCAACAGAGGACGACTTTTTAGGGCGGGCAGTGAGAATTTTGTTCCTCATGAGTTTCAGTAGCAAAGCTTGTCGCGCCTCGATTCCATCCATACCTTTGTTATTTGTGCGTCCAGATTAGATTAAAATCCTCTAAAATACAATATGAACTAAGATACGATACGCAAATTAAATCATAAACTAATGAAATACAGGGGTGGTATGCATTGGGAGACCGGGACAGCATGGAACCGAATAGAAAACAAATGAACAAACCGGTAGCCCAGGTGCAGAATTAATCAAAGAATTTTGAAAAGTGGATCCTTTTTACGATTCGGCTCAAAATTTAAACAAGAATTTGCATAATTTCAGCAAATTCTTGAAAAACAAATTTAAACGGATAGCTGCACGTGAAATCAGTGTTCTTGCTTATCGACCTCCCGAGCAGCCGGAAAAACATATTTCTGCGAACAAGTGAGTTACAAATGGTCTGCAACTGTTCTTCTGTTGTAGCAACGTATCAAGCTTTTATTGTGGCAGATCTATGACTCACCAAGCCTTTTGCCTTGAGAGGTGCCAGTTCCGAAGCTACATAGAAATTTCAGCGAAAAAAATCATCGGCAAGCGTAAAAGTTCATCTTGCGATTTAAAACTGAGATGCCGTTTTGCGCTAGAGAAAGACAAAACGAGAACCTTGTTCTAATCAAATAACAGAGGAGATGAGAATCAAAACTGAGTTATGCTCTTGCATAAATTCAAACCTAAGGTCATGGCACAAACTGATCTGAAAAGTCATCCTTGGATTTTGCACACAGTCGGGAAGTTTGGTCTCAGGAATTTAAATTTGTAATTTTTTGATTCTGGGAATCAGATTTATTTGAATTGGTAGATGAAATCAGTGGCCAAAATTCGAGGTGAACAGAGAGTTGATTTCTGTTTATTCGTGAAATTTCAGTTTTCTCTAGGAAGTAAAAAATTTTTTTTCGCTTCTGAAATACTGGATCAGACAAATAGACAGACGGACGCATACATGCACACACACACATGCAAACATAAAAATGTCCTTATTCTTATATATTTTTGCGCTGCGGGTCCAGGAATGTAAAAAATTAATTTTTTAAAAAAAGATTGCAGCACCAAAAGGAATATAAAAAATTAAGTTTTTAAAAAAAGACGAATCGGCCGTGAGCCTGACCCAATAACAAGGTCACAGAAATAATCGCCATCTTTTTGACAGCTATACAGTGCAAACGGAGTACAGAAAGGGAATATTTGTTCTTTTTTTCCAGATATGTCATCGTTTAAGGACATTGACATAATTTACGAGCAAAGTGCTGTTGAGCTGCCAAGCAAACGAAGAGTTAAGGTCCACTCTGAAAAATCTTTGCTTTCAATCATCTGTCCCGTGAATTACTGAATTTGAGAGTCTCAATGAATCAAAAAATCTTACATATTTCATGGAATGAAACTGTTAACCGCTTTAACTGACTATCTATCGTTGAAGGAGAGTGAGAACGGGAGGGAATAAGAAAAACAATTAAGCCACCTTTGAATTTTTGAGCGACCAACGATATCACTGTAATACGATACGCATACTGTTATTCTTGTATCTTTTTGGCATACTTTACCATGGAATTTATGAAATGTGAACTAATTGAAGAAAGTTTAGCTGCGGATGAAAAACTTGAGGTTACACTCTTCTGGCGTATTTAGCAATGTTTACCGGGGCACGTTGCTTAGTCCAGGTGCCCGCAAAGAGATTGCTGTCAAAAAAACTTGGCCAGGTATGATTTGATTAGTTACCAGCAGCAATCAGTGCTGCACTTTTTCCTAGCTGTAACTTGTTTGGATTTTGTGATCAGCTCCTACTTCATTGAAGTCTTGCTTTTTGTAATCGGTGTAGCCAGCGAAACCCATGAAAAATCAGCAAAGGAGAAGCCGCTACAAAAAATATATGCCTAGAAGAGACCGAAAAGAAGTAGAAGTACGTACACAGTGCTCCCAGGCTGATCCTGAGGTGAAAAGGCAGGTACTGCAGTTGTAAAATCCTTCGAATCCAGTTGTGAGCACGAATGATTGGTTTCCTTGCAACTAATTTCATTTGAAAAATCTAGATTCCTCTTCTCCATTGTCTTGTTGAAGATGCTCCAAAGATTTTTGTTTTATCCCGCTACATAGAGCGGTAAAAGAGGAGCCATTAAAAAATGTACATAAGCTAACGGTCGTGCAGATGCGGAGATGGATGCGCATGCGAACCTGGAACTGGAAATTCTTCTGGCCGTGAGCAGCGAACGACACAAGAACATTATTCAGGTGCTGTATACATTTCGAACTCTTACTCCTGATAAAAAGGTAATTCCGAATGATTTATAAGTTTAGTGCGATTTATAAGTCTATGTGATTTTACCGCCTACTGTGATATGCCTCATTCTCTTCCAAGCCTTTTAACTTCTTCAACACTTCTGTCCTGATTTTTACCGCCCAGTTCAGTTCTGCCGTAGCATCATGCATGTAGAAAAAATAAATAATTCAGGAAAAAATGAGTAAATTGTAGCGTTCACTTCCCTGAAAGCACGTAGATGCAGTAAAACTTTTCAGAACATGCAACATCTTTTCAGCAACTGCTCATTTCCAATCTGAAACTCTGTTTATTGCTGTAGCCCAAGGAATTTTCAGATTTGCGAAAGCATGGTGTTTGATTATTTGCCCCAGACATTATCAAACATTGCTAAACAAATTGGTGGCAAAAATCCA